GCTTCTTCCTATGGCTACCAACACATCAGACAATATTAATCAGCTCAATGAAGTGATAGTAGCCATGGTACCATTTCCTGATTATAGCCATCTTACTCAGCTCTTTGTTCTTGGTCGCTTCATCTCTCATAATATACCAGTACATTTCCTCTGCCTTGCTGATCGGAACCAAGATTTGAAACTGCGCGTCCAAGGTGATCTCAGGGCCTCAAACATCCATTTCCATGACATTTTAGTACCTTCTTCTCTGGCAGAAATAGAAGATGTTGGCGATGGTCTGCCTTCGATTGTACTATTTATAAAAAGCATCGTCGATCCCATTCGAAGAGCGTGTATTGATCTCTCTACCAATGCAAAGAGATTTGTCATAATTCATGACTCCATAACGATGGATCATGTGAGGGATGTTCATTCATACCCGAACGTGAAGTCTTATATGTTCCACTCCATTTCAGCTTTTGCCAGATATTCTTTGCTCCGACAAAGTATTGATCACATATTTGATGATGATGATGATCATGAAGAAATGATCGAGAAAATGCAGTATGAGTTTCCGTTGTTGGAGAGTTCGGTTGCACCATTTGCGGCTGTGTTACTTAGAAAGGAACATGAATGGAAGCTCAACTCTGGAGAAATCATGAACTCCTGCAGAGAACTAGAAGGTAAGTACATAGATTTACTTGCCAATGCAAAAGACAACAAGCCGTGGTTGGCTGTTGGTCCACTTTATATGCTGCTAGAATCACACGACTCTAGCAACAGGAGTCGTCATGAATGCCTAGAGTTTCTCGACAAGCAAGACGTTAATTCAGTAATATTGGTCTCGTTTGGAACAACCACTACATTCTCACAAGAGCAAGTCAGTGAGCTCGCGCTTGGTTTAGAACAAAGCAACCATAAATTTATTTGGGTACTAAGAGAAACGGATAAAAAGATGGGAAATGAGAAATTTGAAGTGAAAGATGAGAAGATTGAATTGCCAAAAGGGTTTAAAGAAAGAACGAAAGGAAGAGGAATGGTGGTAATAAATTGGGAGCCCCAATTGGAGATCTTGGGGCACCCGTCTACAGGTGGATTTTTTAGCCACTGTGGGTGGAATTCTTGTATCGAGAGCATTAGCATGGGGGTGCCTCTAGCAACTTGGCCAATCCAATACGACCAGCCTTATAACGCTATTTTGGTAACAAATGTAGTGAAGATTGGAACTCTGTGAAGAGTTGGGCTCGCCAGGAGGAATTGGTGACAACATCAACCATTGAGAAAGCTGTCAAGACTTTGATGAGTACGATAGAAGGAGAAGAGATGAGGCAAAGGGCGATGGAATTGAGCAATAAGATCAAGAACTCTGTTAGCCATGGAGGACTTGCGCGCAAGGAAATGGAATCTTTCATATCATGTATTATCAGATAAAAGGTTGGACAATAGGTGAATCAGGGGAATGGTGGATAGAGTTATTCGATATTTATATTGGCGCGAGGTAGCAAGTACCGGTTAAATTAGTCGAGGTGCAGAAAAAAGTTGGCTCGGTCACCATCACTGTTATCAAAAAGCTAAGGGAGAGGGAACATCAGTTTGGATGCTGTCTTTGTAAAAGAAAATAAGATATTCATTCATGCATCAGATAAATAAATGCCATACATCTGAAAGTTTAAATTGTACTGAGGAATAAATTTTTTAGTTACTTAATTATCTATTTAACAGGTTTCTTGGTTTAAGAGAAGTCAAACACCACCTTATAGAAACTTGAGGGATCTCTTAATTAGTTTAATTTCTTAAATCTTTATATCACATGATGCCTTTATTATACGCGTTTATCCATAGAGTAGCACATTCATTTCTCTTCAATCTTTAAATGCATACTAACTTGAAATAAGTATAAAAAGAGTAGCCCGGTGCACTAAGCTCCCGCTATGCATGGGGTTCCGGGAAGGGCCGGACCATAAGGATCAATTGTACACAGTCTTACCGTGCATTTCTGCAAGAGGCTGTTTTCACGGTTCGAACTCGTGACCTCCTGGTCACATGGCAGCAACTTTACCAGTTAAGCCAAGGCTCCAACAATTGGTATCAGAGCCTACTCACGTCTAATTAAATAATTAGGATAAACTATAAGGATTAATATCATGTTCTATATGCAAGTTTTGAATTACATACAAAGTTTGTTTTTT